GGAAATTCCAAGGGTTGGGAGCTGTGAGCCAGGAGGCCTGGAGGAGGACAAATACATATGAGAAATGTCTGGTCATCTGAATGACCAAACGTACACTTCTTTTAAATCACAACACTGCAATCAATTATCATATGTGTTTTTCACCGGTGAAGTTCAGCTTCATCTGTGCTCCACGCAAGAGAAAAATGTGATTTAACCAAGGTTGGTATTATGCTAGGTAGGACAGTGACAGGTAAATTAAAAGTAAAACGCAGGGCAATAACTAAAATAATAGTCTGTGGAGTCCTAACATTTTAGTATGAGATCCTGAAAATGAGAGAAACAAACAGAATGTGGGACTTTATAAATTGAGAAATTATTTGGCTTACTGAGGGTTCCAGCAAGAATGAGCTGGAATGATAAGTGATAAAAAAAAATAATAGCTCTTTAGAAAATAAAACAGAAGATAATCCCGTTTCTAAATGAAACAACAGATCAAATACATGAGCCTAGGAAATGAGCATTTTCTATATGAAGAATAATTTTAGAACTCTACTGAAACACATAAAAGAAGACAAACATTTCTTTTAAATTTACTTTGGGTAGAAAGCATCAATGCTGTGAAGACTAAAGATGTTTATTCTCCTTAAACTTCTATGAACAGAATGAAAAGTTAATAAAAATAGCATTACTTGTTAAATGTGAGAGCAACTAGGAAAATTCCAAAGGAGAATAATCGGGAGTCAGGCACATGTAACATTGGGCAGCATACTGTAGAAAACAACATGACATGTTTTAATTATTCAATATGTGGTGTTGAGACAATGGCCTAGTTATTGGGAATAAGAAAAGGTACATCCTGTTTGATTTTAGGAAGTATATCTAACTTTGTTTCTTACAACCAGTTAAATTCCAGATGAATCATGTATCAAAACATAAGAAGTATAGATGAAAACATAGGTACTCTTTAAAAATAATCTTGGAGCTTGGAGTTAGGAAGACCCCAATACACATGTAAATATAATACTAATAAAATTTCAAACTTATAAACTCAGAAAAAAATGATAAAAAAATATTTGTAACATGTATGATAAAAGGCTTCTTTTCTTATTAGAGAACTTGCAAGAAAATGACAATAGGAGAAATATATATAAAGGTGAGTGTAGTTCTTGAGTGATGAGTTCCCAAATATTTATTTTACTGTTAACACTTCATAACTTACTTATTTTAAACATAGTGTTTTGCAAATATAAAGCATTACATTAAAAATGATTTTAAAAATAAAACACTTTTAAATAAAGATCACAGCATAAGGTCACAAAACTCTGCAGGCTAACTGGAACTGACGGCTTCAGAACCTTCTCGTCAGCTTAGCCAGTTTCTTAATTTTGAAATTGCTCAGAATTTTTGTTTGCCTTTTATGGTTATCAGCTAGTGTACTGAATGTATACTTCTTTTATTTCGAGCTCACAATGTCATCTCAAGATTAGCAGATCTAGATTCTCTAGATTCACATGTCCCCTTCTATTTTCCAAGAATCCCTGGAACTTAAGCATTTCAAAAAGAGTCGGCTGGGTCACATCAACAGCCGACTAGGGAGAATGAATTCTCTAGGGAGAATGAAGATTTTGGTTAGTCTAATTTTGATTTTGTTTCCTGTTTCGATTTGAGGACAGCTAGCCCAAACTGTACTTTAGAAGATACTGGTCATCTGCTCATTTGGGTGGCAGACTGTTTTTTAAAAAAAAGGGACATCACAGCTCCCATCCACATGCTCTTGCAGGGTACCACCCCTGCCCCCCTGTAAGAGGTGAAGTTTGTGCCCCCTCCTAGAGGCTGGGTGGGCCTTTGTGACTGCCTGGGCCAATACAGGGTAGTGGAAATGATCTCGTGTGGCTTCCGAGACTAGGTCACCAATGATCATGCAGCTGGCTGGGCCCTCTGGTGGGCGCCTGCTCACGGAGTCCAGGGCCCAGGCTGTGAGGAAGCCCAGGCCACACAGAGAAACTTCGTGCTGCTGTTTTAGTCGACAGCCAGTATCAATGCACTGGTATGTGAATAAGCAAACCCCAGCCACCTCGTGACCACCACTACATGAGACCCCATGTGAGAACAGGTGAATGATAAAGGGCTGCCATTGCTTTATGTCACTAAGCTCGGGGTAGTTTGTTACATCACAGACTGGAACATCCAAGTTTCAGTACCAGCTACTTTGGATGTGGACAACGTGCAGGTGGACAAGCCTACCGAGGCCATGCCAGCCTGAGGCAAAGGCACGCCCTCCCAGGAGCGCGGCACTTCCCGGAGCTCAGCCCTGTCAGGCATTTGCACAGCCATACCGTGAGAAACCTGCTGACCAGGACTCAGGCTGCTGGGCCATCAACCCCCTAACAGACCCCTAACCACTACCCTCCTTCCTTTCCTGATTATTCATAAACCTAGTATTCTGCTAGATTTCCTTTCTCACCTCTCATAAACAAAAGGACACCTCCTGTACTGGAAAATAAGGTTGTTAGTGCCTCCTCCTCCAGTGTGGCCTCCTAGTTGTAGACAGAGAGCTCAGACTGTCACAGTCCTGTTCTCCCTGCCCTGACTGTGTGTTGACAGAGCTACCCTGCTTATCTCTGGTTAAAGAGGCTTCACATCTGCTTCCCATTTGTGCCCCAGTGCTGATCTGTGTTTCCTGTGACAGGGTGACAATTTGGCTCTTCCCTCACTAGCACACAGAAAGGAAAACAGAAGTTTAAGCAGCAGGATGACACAAAAATGGGGTCTATCCACTCATACTTTGACCCCCAAAACACTAAAGGCTATAATGCATATGGAGATAGTCTTTAGCAGCAAACAACAGGGCAGAAGTTAAGATGCTAACTTTTATCAATGATCATTTTTTAAAAATGCTTGGGTTTCCTAGGAAACTCTACTTTGGCTTGTATTTCCTCTTCTTATATCTCCAAAACCGATAGGGACAAAAGCAAATGTTATTAACATTTTTATACTTGCTATCCATTTTTCATTTTATGATATTTAATGTGATGAAGTGCTAATTATCACTACATGGGCAACCATGTCACAATATACAGAGGTATCAAATTAACAGGTGGCTCACCTTAAATTTACACAATGTTATATGTCAAATGTATTTTAATTAAAAAAATGGATTTTCTAAATTTAAAAGTTACCACAAATTCAGTCGAGAAGGAAGAGGGAATAAAGAAAAAAAAAAGGAACAAGTACAGGAACACTTTTAAAGTTGAGCAAGATATGAAAGTAGGCACTTCATTTTTTTGCCAAGTGTGGAAAAACTAACTGGGAGAATGGTGGGGATCTGGGGAGGCGACGGATAAGGGTACATATAAAAGAAAACATAATGAGAATAAGATACTCTTAGGGAAAAAACAAGTGCCAGGGTTGGGGCAGGGACACAGTGTGGGGATGAGGCCAGAGGGGGCTCCTGGAGCCCAGGGCATTTACCGTTTGCCTGATGGACCCTGAGCAGGTGACCTTTGCTCGGATTTATCTGGACACCACAGAGGTCTCCTGGCTTTCAAGAGAAGCCTCTAGTGGCTGCCTTTGTGTCTACTACGCGGTGGTCTCTCGTTTCTGAATCCCACAGGACAGAACTGGAAACAGATTTGACTTCTTTGGCTCTGAAGGAGGAGGAGGGGGGCCGAGGAGAAGAGGGAGAGGCAGGTGGAAGGGGAGGAAGCAAAGGTAAAGGGAAACTGCTCCTAAAACTGGGTGGGGCTCTTGACTGCAGGCGACGCTGTGCCTCGCCTGGAAACCAAGACAGTGGCTCTTTGCTAGAGCGCCCTTGGGCTTTGTAACCATGGTTTTCCAAGGCCCAAAATGTATAAAAACAGAATATTCAAAAAATAAATAAAACCTGACAATAAGCTACTGCCATTTCTACTTGCAGTGGAAAATGCTGCAAGAGTTCCAAAGCAGAAGCCTGTGTAATCAGGTGAACGCACCCTATACATAACGAGGCCCCCTGCCACTGGCGTCTGCTTCCTCCCTGCTCAGGGCGACTCCCAAAGGTACCAGGGAATGGCACCTGGAAACCTCGAGAGGGGGCCCTCAGAGAGCCTTTCTTGGGCATCAAAATCTCCCCCTTCAGCTGGAGGGAATATCTAGTATCCAAGGAGCCCCTGAACTTTCCTTCTACCTACATCCGTGGACTGGTCCTAGGACAGTCGGACGGGCACATTCAGGTGACTTTAGTTAGTGACCGGTTTGATGAATACTTGTGACCGATGGGCCACATCTCTGACCTCTACCTCCATTTCTCCAATGCACCACAGATTTGCAGGAAGGAAAGCAAGTGAGATTTGGAAAAAAGACTTCGGTGATTTACTGAGGGTGCCATATGAGGAATAAAATACATATACATGGGTTTTAATTGTTAAAGACTCAAATTCCATTAACCTGGAAAGGATCCTGGTGTCTATGAATATTTGTCTTTCTTTTCCCTTGATTTCCTACTTTCAAAGATCCCCTGCTAATCCTGAGGAACCAAGGACTCCCCAGGACTGAAGAGTAATATGGAATTAAAGAATGCAGCTCTGCCACTTATCAGCTGTGTTTCCTTATCTCTGTCTTCAGACAAATCATAAGCTGCACACAGTGTTTATAAAGCCCACAGAGCAAGCTTACAGTGACTCACCACAGTATACACATCAAGGCCAGACAACATTCCCTGTTAACAAACGGTCCCTGGCATCTAACATAAGATTTGTTTTTTTGTAACCTCATACTGTTTCTTTTCATATAATGCTCTGAACAGTTGAAGCTGTGTACCAATCCCTTATAAATATCTTGCAGATTTTATTAAAAATGGCTTATTTCTGAAAAATAGGCTAATTTTAAAAGTATTAAAGAAGTTTACTTTGAAATTTACCAAATAAATCATTGTATAATGTGGCTAATTTGCTTTACTTCTGGCAAAATGCACTTTTTAAGCAACTCCATATATTCTATTATTGAATTAATTTTTTTTGTAGCTAACCTGTTACATAATTATATGTTGGTTAGTCATAGGATAAAGGCTACTAGAAAAGTTGCACTACTGGTATATTTCCCAATTAGATGGTAGTAGTGCCATGCTTTCTTCTAGTGTTACAACTCCAATATTAAAATTTAGCCTTATTCTTTCCTTGGTTAGCTGCTGTCACAGGCAAAGTCAGCCAGGGAAAGGAGTCAGAGGTTAAAAACATTTACCACTCGGCGTCATTGATTAAGAAAACCTCATTGTGGCACTTCAGCATTCTTCCTAACAGGCTATTTGCTTGATGGAGCAATGACCTGTAGTGATTCTATCAGCAGTTATCTGTGCCCTACATTGCAGTGGTCACACGGGGGTCATAAAGAGTCGGCATACACGCTCTCTACTCCCAAACATGATATAATCTAGCCATGCAGGTGGGGAGGAGTTCTAGAGTGGAGTTTTGTGTAGTTGGGAGGAACAATGGACACAGGATCAGAAGACATGGGTTCAGGTATTGATTTTTGTCTCTCAACATCTGTGTGTGTTGGGCGAGTCCCTAAACAGAGCTAATCCTCGGTCTCCGCATCTGAAGAGAGATGGTAATCCTTGTCTTCCCCGCTCCACTGGATGGTGATGAAAATAAAGGTATGTGGAGATGCTTTGTAATCACAAATGCATTATAAAGTGCTTTCAACACAAAGAGAGAAAAGTCCCATGCTACCTACGTGTGCACAGGCCGGAGAGCAAGACAGGAACGAAGGGAGGGAAAGGATTTTACGGAGGTCACGGGCTGTGTGTGGCTTCGCGTGGCTTTGCCAAATGAGTGGTAATTAGGAAAGAGGAGTGTAGGACAGCCAATGAGGGCAGGAGTGCCATCAGGGTTCAAAGACAGGACTGAGAATGAAGAATGTGAACCATAGTGACAAGAACTCAGCTCAAACCCTGGAAGCTCAGGAATCGGTAGGTAGTTCCAGGACCTAGAGCTCTGGATGACACCACTGAACTTAAATGTATTCAGTAATTTTCTGAATTCTATGTAGTAAATATAATATTTAACAGTTAAATATAAATGTTTCTATCAGTTGAACAGTTAAAAATAGTTCTATCAACAATTCTATGATGATGCATCATCGAGACATTCTCACAGAGGAGGAAAACTGGTCTTGGGGGCATTAATTCCTTGCCTAAGATAAGCCAGCACATGATGGAACCAGATATGAGTTTATAGCATTTGATTCTAAAAAGCCATATACTTTCTTCTTAATGAGAAAGAACGATCCTCCGCTCCCTATTCCCAACAGAATTAAGCATGAATCTGAATATAAACAAGCAGAGACCCAAAATAGACTAAGCACAAGAACTGGAAGAAATCATCCATCTAGGTTCCTTACGTAATTTTCTTTCTTAGATACCACCTATGATTTAGTGAAGAAACAGAATCACACTTTGCTGAGTGAGTTCACCTTCCAGGGCTGCTCCAGCTTCCGTGGCCACCAGCTCACCCTCTTTGTCGTGCTCCCTGTACTGTACATATTCCCCCGGGCAGGCAGTATCATCATCGTGGCCATCGCTAGCCTTGATCGCCACCTCCACAGCCCCATGTACTTCTTCCTCGGTGTGCTGTCAGCTTCAGAGACCACGTACACACTTGCCACTATACCCGCTCCGTGACCTCACAGGCCCGGGCCAGCCCATCTCCGGGGCAGCCTGTGCCACCCAGATGTTCTTCTTCATCACTCTGGCCATCAACAACTGCTTCCTGCTCGCAGCGATGGGGTACGACCACTATGTGGCCATCTGCAACCCCTTGAGGTACACGGTCATCATGAACAGGAGGGTGTGCTTCCAGTTGGTGTGGGGGGCCTGAGCATTGGCCTAATTGTAGCCATGACCCAGGTGCTGGCTGTGTTCAGGCTGCCCTTCTATACCACAAAGGTGGCCCACTTCTTCTGTGACATCAGACCTGTGATGAAGCTCTCCTGCATTGACACGACCCTCAATGACATCCTGACTTTGATCACCAGTGTGCTGGTGATCCTGGTGCCCATGGGCCTGGTCTTCACCTCCTACGTCCTCATCATCTCCACCATCCTCAGGATCACCTCGGCTGAGGGCCGGAAGAAGGCCTTTGCCACCTGCGCCTCCCACCTCACGGTGGTCATCGTCCACTACGGCTGCGCCTCCATTGCCTACGTCAAGCCCAGCTCAGAGAACTCCCGGGATCAGGACCAGCTGATCTCGGTGACCTACACCGTCATCACCCCCCTGCTGAACCCCGCGGTGTACACCCTGAGGAACAAGGAGGTCAGGGATGCCCTGTGCAGGGTCACGGGCAGGAAGCTTTCCTGACAAGATGGGCTTCCGTGAAGGTCTTAGGAGATTCTCTCAGGAGGGAAAAGCGGAACAGTGCCCACAGTCCTTGGAGTTGCCATTCAGGAGCCTACAAAGCAGTGGATGGCAAGGGGAAGAGGACAGCAGGCCTCCACACTCAGCCACTCAGGGAAGGGAGAGGGCTCTCCAAAGCACAAGAAGCTCGCATCTCACAAAAGAACATGAATGGTTATTGGACTTCAAATGCAGGAAAAGAAACTTGATATTAGAAAGTAGGTGGGCAGCCTGGACAGCCTGAGACGGACTGAGACTGGGATGGCAGGAAGAACGGCTGAGGGGAGGCTACTTGGGGCAGGGCTAAAATTTTAAATACATTCTATTACACTCTCTTTGGATGTGGGGTTTCCTCTTTTCCATTTAAGGCTACATAGTTTTGACGCCTAACTGAAATAATTCCTTTATGGACAATGCAAGCTCCTTGTATCTTGGACACCATAAATAAATGGATACCAGAGATAATAAGCATCTATAAAATTCATTAGTCCTTGAATTCGGAACCTTTATCACATAAGGGGAAATGGAGATCTCAGTTTTCATGGCATGTAAGAAACATTTTTGGCAAGTGAATAAAATCCCTTGATGATCTAGTTAAAGAAGGAGGTAGCACCTAAGTAATAAAATTGGCGTCTATATTATGAGAATATACAAAGGCTGTTGGTGATGTTATGTGGAAGTCACTGACCCATTGAAAAAAGGATACTTCTGGAGGCGGTCCCTCTGGAGAGGCTTTGGCAGAATGGATAGAAGCAACAAGCGAATGGGAGTAAAAGACAATCTACAGCAGGGACTAGTGACTGAGAGGGCTGGATGGGTAAGGAGAATGCAGCCATCTGATAAGCAGTAACTCAACGAAAGAAGAAGCCTCCAACCATCCGTCCTATCACTTAAGACCCTCTGGGACCTGAATCAATACGTCATGTCTCACTAGGCACCTCCACTTTCAGCACCCCCTCCCCTCAGCCTGCCATTCAGCTCCAGGCAGCCTACAATCAGTAATGCCAGGGGATCTGTGGTTTCCCAGTCCCCATCTCCTATTCTCACGCCTCTTTACAGCTTATCACCACTTACTAGCAATCCCTGATTCCACCCTCACCACCCGTGCAGCCAGGGGCTCTCCTACTCATGCTGAAACACCAGACTGAAGCATTTCTCTTTTTATGAATCTCTAATGAAGAAGAAATCACTCTCTCTACCCGCTCACACCTCCAAACCTAACATCCGTGTAGTACTGTAGTGAACAGTCCCCATGTTACCTTTATGGGTGGAAATGCAAAATGAGCAGTGAGGGACGCAACCAGGCGGATCTCAGCCAGTTGGACAGTTCCACCTGCTGTTTAATTGCTCACCAGCACCAAGTGACATGTTTGTCTCAGGCTGCATTCTCCTCCACGTTAAGTTCAAAAGTTAAGGCTATGGACCAAATATTTTAACTTCATAAATACTCATTATGGCTCAGTTTCACATATAATTGATGTAGTTTTTTTGGGGGAAAGGGAATTTATGGTGAAATTCAAGAGAATCCCAAATAAAAGTACCCTGTGAACCCCAAATAAAAGTGCTCTGATTACCAACAGTCACTTTTACTCAGTAAAGAAAAAGATTTTTTAAATTCTAGGCTGTGAGCTTGAAAATGCTGCCCTGTTCAACCTTCTCAATAACAGATAACCTGTATTTGCAGATTATAGTCACTTAAAACAAGGTAGCAGTTTTTGGAGGTCAGCAAAGTGAAGTGCCTGTAACCTAAACACAGGAAGAAAAAGATTCCCTTTGGAGTCCTGGCTCTGCTTCTTACTCACCATATATATTTGAACGAATTACAGAACTTCTCTAAGCCTCAGTTTCCCCATCTGTAAAATTTACATACAGGAGGAAGCAATCAGATACTGGAAGTGCTGATCTAAAAAGTACTAATATTTTACTTTTTATAAAAGAATCTATTATAAGAAAGTTAACCTCACTTCTCCTATTCATGGTGAAGCTATACATATTAGCTAATATTAGTCATTATTTGAAACAAATAAATAGAAGTCATAAGAATTTTGTTAAATATAATTTAAGGGTAGACAGAATTCTGATAAAATATACATTATTTTTTACTTTTTCCTAAAAATCTACTGAATTCGAGTTAAGAATATTGAGTTAATAATATAATAAAAGTAATATACAAATATAAAAATATTACACAATGATTAATACATTTATATAAACAACATTATTTTTTTAAGGTGAGGAAGAGATAACAGAATATCTGCAAGCCTTACAGGGTATGGACAATGAGGCTTACAGCTTCCAATCAGGGAATAAAGGATTTTCTCCATAGCAAAAGAAAATAGGAGATGACACTAAAAGAGTATGCAAAAATTTTGGAGCCTGGAAAGAATAATAATAAATTGTTATTGTCCCCGTGTGAATTAGCGCAATGGAGGATGCTAGTGTAGAACACTCAGGAGATGCCTGAGGCAGAGACAACAACAAAAATGCCCACTTATCACCCAAACGTCCAGAAGCATTCAGGAGACATGGGAAGTAAGTACTTCCAGACATAAGAGCATATGATGGGTCTGACAAAACAGAGCCGCTTGAAAATGGTTGAGAGATGCTGTATAGGATCTGAACCTCTCCCCTGAGCAGCAGGCTGGAGGGACACTTTCTGGAGGGACCTACAGAAATGAGGTATAATAGTAACAAAATTTAAAGATATTTAAATAATAACATTGATATGATAACATAATATATAATAAGTAATAATGCTGTGACAATAAAATAGGGTATAATAATAAATTTGTATGAATAATATAATAATTTTTTTAAAAGAAAGCAAGAGATAAAAGAATATCAGCAAACCTAATAGGGTATTAATAAGGCTTACAGCTCCCAATCAGGAAACTCAAGATTTTCCACTGGGGAATTTCGTATTTCAAGAACAAAGACAGATATGGACAGCTCCATGCCCTGTGTTGAAATGCAAGCTTACTGTAAAGGAAGCCAGCTTCTCACATTACCTCCCCTTATCACTCTAGTATATAAAGCCCACTCTTCAACATATCCCACACACCTCAGAGTTCCTCAACAGCTGGTTAGTGCATCAGTCTAGCTATGAATGGACTGACAAGGATCACCAAGCATTTGAGGACATGTTAACAAGAAAACAGCCATCAGCCTGATAAACAGATAAGAAGAGAACACGGAAGAATCAGATACACTGCAGTGAGTAGATTAAACTCTTTCAAAAGATATATATTTAACATTTCGAAAGGATACAGCAAGATACTGAATCAGTGAAATAAAAGCAGTGCTATGTAAAAGGCATGTGCTGAGCAGAAAGAGGTTTTTCAAATTACATGAGCTGAAATAAAAAAGCAGAGTTGCAAAAATTTGATGAAATATCTTGAATAGCAGAACAAAAAGACAAATAGGAGTGAAATAAGACAATATACGAATATTGAATATAAATACAAGATGTCTAATATTTGTCTACCTAGGACTTCAAAAAAAAAAGCAGAGGAAATAGTTAAATTTTCAAAGAAATTGTAAAATAAAATTTCAAAGAGCAAAAGGACCGAAGCTTCCAGACCAATGACTATGACATTGAAAACAATCATGACCAACACAAAAAATCTATCTTCATAAAGTTTCTAAAAACTAGGTTAAAGGGATGACTTTAAAAGCTTCAAGGTAAAAAAACCAAATATAGCAATAAGTAATGGATCGATAATCAGAATGGCTTTGGATTTTACATCAGAAGCTACAAGACACTAAAGTAATAATGGCTTAAAAACTCTAGTGGAAAATTATTACCAAACTAGAATCCTAAATTCAGCAAATTATCAATCAAATGTGAGAGTGAAATAGCATTTTCAAACATGCAAGATCTCAAGAAATTTTCTTCTATTCCGTCTTTCTTGGGAAGCCATTAAAATGAGGATGTACAACAAGAAAGAAGATAAAGGATCAAGGAGACAGTGAATCCAGAAGAGAGGTCAGGGTAATACCTGGATGGAATGGAAGGAAAGTGCCATGTTAACAGCCATTCAATCAGTTTTAAGGAAAAACGGCAAAATTGGAGAAGGCAGAGAGCTCTTGGAGGTCTAGCTCTGTGAAAAGATGAAGGAAAGGAAATTAAGAGATGCCTGGTATTATAGACCACACAGAAAAAATTAGTTTAGCTTGCTTGTTCAAGAGAGATATATTTACAGAATGTGATATGAATCAGCTATGAGCTATATTTATTTAATCATTATCAAAACACTAAATAATGACAACCAAACCAAATCAGAATATAAACATATTTTGAAAATATATAAACATTTTGAGAAAGAGAAAGTGTATGTGTGTGTAAGTGACCTAGGAAATGATGGTAGACATATGTAACATGATTGAAAATATTGTGAAGGTTAATTTTATATGTCAACTTGGCTGGGCCATGGTGCCTAGATATTTGGTCAAACATTATTCTAGATATTTCCATGAGATTGTTTTTAGATGAGATTAAGATTTAAATTGGTGGACTTTGAGTAAAGCAGATTGTCCTACAGAATGTGGGTGAGGCTCATTGAATCATGTGAAGACATGATCAGAACAAGACTGACTACCACGAGCAAGAGGGAATTCGGCAGTAGGCAGTCTTCAGACTTGAACAGCAGTGATGGCTCTTCCCTTTGTGATTTGCCAGCCTCCATAATCATGTGAGCCAATTCATTACAATAAATTTTTATCTCCTCTCCTTTCTCTCTCCCTCTGTGTATGTGTGTGTGTGTATATATGTGTGTGTGTGTGTGTGTGTGTGTGTATATATATGTGTATGTGTGTGTGTGTATACACTCTCAGTTAATTGGTTCTGTTTTTCTACAGATCCCCAACACAAGTAGCCTCTACAGAGTAGGAGAAAAGGGTAAGGAGGGATGGAGTAGAGAATTTTTTCCTTTTTCCTTTTTTCCAACCTTTTAGTAATATTTGAATTTTTAAACTATTTATATGAACTATTTCTAAAAAATAAGAATAAATGTTTAAGAAAGTTAAGGGTAATCACTAGGTACAGGCAAAACTTTCAAACCAATATAGA